CCTGGCCCTAGTGTGGCCCTGTCTGCAGGGTGCCTGACCCCAGTGAATATTACCTGGCCCTAGTGCTGACCTGTCTGCAGGGTGCCTGACCCCAGTGAGTATTACCTGGCCCTAGTGTGGCCTGTCTGCAGGGGTGCCTGACCCCAGTGAATATTACCTGGCCCTAGTGTGGCCTGTCTGCAGGGTGCCTGACCCCAGTGAATATTACCTGGCCCTAGTGTGGCCTGTCTGCAGGGGTGCCTGACCCCCAGTGAATATTACCTGGCCCTAGTGTGGCCTGTCTGCAGGGTGCCTGACCCCCAGTGAATATTACCTGGCCCTAGTCGGCCTGTCTGCAGGGTGCCTGACCCCAGTGATATTACCTGGCCCTAGATGCGGCCTGTCTGCAGGGTGCCTGACCCCAGTGAATATTACCTGGCCCTAGTGTGGCCTGTCTGCAGTGCCTGACCCCAGTGAATATTACCTGGCCCTAGTGCGGCCTGTCTGCAGGGGTGCCTGACCCCCAGTGAATATTACCTGGCCCTAGTGTGGCCTGTCTGCAGGGTGCCTGACCCCAGTGAGTATTACCTGGCCCTAGTGTGGCCTGTCTGCAGGGTGCCTGACCCCAGTGAATATTACCTGGCCCTAGTGTGGCCTGTCTGCAGGGTGCCTGACCCCAGTGAATATTACCTGGCCCCTAGTGTGGCCGGGGTCTGCAGGGTGCCTGACCCCAGTGAATATTACCTGGCCCTAGTGTGGCCCTGTCTGCAGGGGTGCCTGACCCCAGTGAATATTACCTGGCCCTAGTGTGGCCTGTCTGCAGGGTGCCTGACCCCAGTGAATATTACCTGGCCCTAGTGTGCGGCCTGTCTGCAGGGTGCCTGACCCCAGTGAATATTACCTGGCCCTAGATGGGACCTGTCTGCAACACTATGACCCCAGTGAGTATTACCTGGCCCTAGTGTGGCCTGTCTGCAGGGTGCCTGACCCCAGTGAATATTACCTGGCCTAGTGTGGCCTGTCTGCAGGGTGCCTGGCCCAGTGAGTATTACCTGGCCCTAGTGCTGGCCCTGTCTGCAGGGTGCCCTGACCCCAGTGAATATTACCTGGCCCTAGTGTGGCCTGTCTGCAGGGTGCCTGACCCCAGTGAATATTACCTGGCCCTAGTGCTGGCCTGTCTGCAGGGTGCCTGACCCCAGTGAGTATTACCTGGCCCTAGTGTGGCCTGTCTGCAGGGTGCCTGACCCCAGTGAATATTACCTGGCCCTAGTGTGGCCTGTCTGCAGGGTGCCTGACCCCAGTGAATATTACCTGGCCCTAGTGTGGCCTGTCTGCAGGGTGCCTGACCCCAGTGAATATTACCTGGCCTAGTGTGGCCTGTCTGCAGGGGTGCCTGACCCCAGTGAATATTACCTGGCCTAGTGCGGCCTGTCTGCAGGGTGCCTGACCCCAGTGAGCATATTACCTGGCCCTCGTGTGGCCTGTCTGCAGGGTGCCTGACCCCAGTGAATATTACCTGGCCCTAGTGTGGCCTGTCTGCAGGGTGCCTGACCCCAGTGAATATTACCTGGCCCTAGTGTGGCCTGTCTGCAGGGTGCCTGACCCCAGTGAGTATTACCTGCCCCCAGTGTGGTCTGTCTGCAGGGTGCCTGACCCTGTGCTGCCTGCACCGCTATGACCCCAGTGAGTTTTACCTGCCCAAAGTGTGGCCTGTCTGCAGGGTGCCTGACCCTGGGCTGCCTGCAGCACTATGACCCCGGTGAGTATTACCTGCCCCGAGTGTGGCCTGTCTGCAGGGTGCCTGACCCTGGGCTGCCTGCACCACTGACCCCAGTGAGTATTACCTGCCCCCAGTGCGGCCTGTCTGCAGGGTGCCTGACCCCAGTGAATATTACCTGGCCCTAGTGTGGCCTGTCTGCAGGGTGCCTGACCCCAGTGAATATTACCTGGCCCTAGTGTGGCCTGTCTGCAGGGTGCCTGACCCCAGTGAGTATTACCTGGCCCTAGTGTGGCCTGTCTGCAGGGTGCCTGACCCCAGTGAATATTACCTGGCCCTAGTGTGGCCTGTCTGCAGGGTGCCTGACCCCAGTGAGTATTACCTGGCCCTAGTGTGGCCTGTCTGCATTGTGCCTGACCCCAGTGAATATTACCTGGCCCTAGTGCGACCTGTCTGCAGGGTGCCTGACCCCAGTGAATCATTACCTGGCCCTAGTCTTGGCCTGTCTGCAGGGTGCCTGACCCCAGTGAATATTACCTGGCCCTAGTGTGGCCTGTCTGCAGGGTGCCTGACCCCAGTGAATATTACCTGGCCCTAGTGTGGCCTGTCTGCAGGGTGCCTGACCCCAGTGAATATTACCTGGCCCTAGTGTGGCCTGTCTGCAGGGGTGCCTGACCCCAGTGAGTATTACCTGGCCCTAGTGTGACCTGTCTGCAGGGTGCCCTGACCCCAGTGAATATTACCTGGCCCTAGTGTGGCCTGTCTGCAGGGTGCCTGACCCCAGTGAATATTACCTGGCCCTAGTGTGGCCTGTCTGCAGGGTGCCTGACCCCAGTGAATATTACCTGGCCCTAGTGTGGCCTGTCTGCAGGGTGCCTGACCCCAGTGAATATTACCTGGCCCTAGTGTGGCCCTGTCTGCAGGGTGCCTGACCCCAGTGAATATTACCTGGCCCTAGTGTGGCCTGTCTGCAGGGTGCCTGACCCCAGTGAATATTACCTGGCCCTAGTGTGGCCTGTCTGCAGGGTGCCTGACCCCAGTGAATATTACCTGGCCCTAGTGCGGCCTGTCTGCAGGGGTGCCTGACCCCAGTGAATATTACCTGGCCCTAGTCTGACCTGTCTGCAACACTATGCTGACCCAGTGAGTATTACCTGGCCCTAGTGTGGCCTGTCTGCAGGGTGCCTGACCCCAGTGAATATTACCTGGCCTAGTGCTGACCTGTCTGCAGGGTGCCTGACCCCAGTGAGTATTACCTGGCCCTAGTGCGGCCTGTCTGCAGGGTGCCTGACCCCAGTGAATATTACCTGGCCCTAGTGTGGCCTGTCTGCAGGGTGCCTGACCCCAGTGAATATTACCTGGCCCTAGTGCTGCCTGTCTGCAGGGTGCCTGACCCCAGTGAGTATTACCTGGCCCTAGTGTGGCCTGTCTGCAGGGGTGCCTGACCCCCAGTGAATATTACCTGGCCCTAGTGTGGCCTGTCTGCAGGGGTGCCCTGACCCCCAGTGAATATTACCTGGCCCTAGTGTGGCCCTGTCTGCAGGGTGCCTGACCCCCAGTGAATATTACCTGGCCCTAGTGTGGCCTGTCTGCAGGGTGCCTGACCCCAGTGAATATTACCTGGCCCTAGTGTGGCCTGTCTGCAGGGTGCCTGACCCCAGTGAATATTACCTGGCCTAGTGTGGCCTGTCTGCAGGGTGCCTGACCCAGTGAATATTACCTGGCCCTAGTGGGCCTGTCTGCAGGGTGCCTGACCCCAGTGATGATATTACCTGGCCCTAGTCTTGACCTGTCTGCAGGGTGCCTGACCCCAGTGAATATTACCTGGCCCTAGTGTGGCCTGTCTGCAGGGTGCCTGACCCCAGTGGTATTACCTGGCCCTAGATGTGGCCTGTCTGCAGGGTGCCTGACCCCAGTGAATATTACCTGGCCCTAGTGTGGCCTGTCTGCAGGGTGCCTGACCCCAGTGAATATTACCTGGCCCTAGTGTGGCCTGTCTGCAGGGTGCCTGACCCCAGTGAATATTACCTGGCCCTAGTGTGGCCTGTCTGCAGGGTGCCTGACCCCAGTGAATATTACCTGGCCCTAGTGTGGCCTGTCTGCAGGGTGCCTGACCCCAGTGAATATTACCTGGCCCTAGTGCGGCCTGTCTGCAGGGTGCCTGACCCCAGTGAATATTACCTGGCCCTAGTGCGGCCTGTCTGCAACACTATGACCCCAGTGAGTATTACCTGGCCCTAGTGTGGCCTGTCTGCAGGGTGCCTGACCCCAGTGAATATTACCTGGCCCTAGTGCGGCCTGTCTGCAGGGTGCCCTGGCAGTGAGTATTACCTGGCCCTAGTGTGCCCTGTCTGCAGGGTGCCTGACCCAGTGAATATTACCTGGCCCTAGTGTGGCCTGTCTGCAGGGTGCCTGACCCCAGTGAATATTACCTGGCCCTAGTGAAACCTGTCTGCAGGGTGCCTGACCCCAGTGAGTATTACCTGGCCCTAGTGTGGCCTGTCTGCAGGGTGCCTGACCCCAGTGAATATTACCTGGCCCTAGTGTGGCCTGTCTGCAGGGTGCCTGACCCCAGTGAATATTACCTGGCCCTAGTGTGGCCTGTCTGCAGGGTGCCTGACCCCAGTGAATATTACCTGGCCCTAGTGTGGCCCTGTCTGCAGGGTGCCTGACCCCAGTGAATATTACCTGGCCCTAGTGTGGTCTGTCTGCAGGGTGCCTGACCCCAGTGAATATTACCTGGCCCTAGTGTGGCCTGTCTGCAGGGTGCCTGACCCCAGTGAATATTACCTGGCCCTAGTGCTGGCCTGTCTGCAGGGTGCCTGACCCCAGTGAATATTACCTGGCCCTAAGGTGTGGCCTGTCTGCAGGGTGCCTGACCCCAGTGAATATTACCTGGCCCTAGTGTGGCCTGTCTGCAGGGTGCCTGACCCCAGTGAATATTACCTGGCCCTAGTGTGGTAACCTGTCTGCAGGGTGCCTGACCCCAGTGAGTATTACCTGCCCCAGTGTGGTCTGTCTGCAGGGTGCCTGACCCTGTGCTGCCTGCACGCTATATGACCCCAGTGAGTTTTACCTGCCCCAGAAGTGTGGCCTGTCTGCAGGGGTGCCTGACCCTGGGCTGCCTGCACCACTGTGACCCAGTGAGTATTACCTGCCCCCAGTGTGGCCTGTCTGCAGGGGTGCCTGACCCTGGGCTGCCTGCGCTATGACCCCAGTGAGTATTACCTGCCCCAGTGTGGCCTGTCTGCAGAGCCTGACCCTAGACTGCCTGCACCACTGTGACCCCAGTGAGTATTACCTGCCCCAGTGTGGCCTGTCTGCAGGGTGCCTGACCCTGGGCTGCCTGCAACACATTGCCCATGTACACCTCGTCCACATCCTCCGCACTGATACCTGCAACATACAATCACATACACTTGTTTACCAACACATTGTGTAAGATTCCAGCTATTTGACTGCAGCCTGCAAATAATGGCGTCCAGGAGCAATAATCCAGGCACTGATATCATTAGCAACCATCCAACTTTGAGGGTTCAGTTGTGGCAGGCACTAAGCGTTTGTATGTCAGCATGATGCATGTAGAGTTAATCTTTATCAAGTTCTTTCACCTGCAGCTAGTATTATTCTAGTTGCATTATTGACACAGATGTATGTACTGGACTCACAAATGTATAGAAAATACACAGAACACACAGACTTCCTGTAATCAAACAAATACAGTATACAGAACTGTAACCTAAAATTAAGTGGATAACCTTGATTAGGTGGATCGTGGAAATAATCATGCTAGCTCGTAAATTAAGTCTCGAATGGCGTCGAAATTAGTACTTTTTTGATGTACATACAGTGCCTTCATTAAGCTGACAAAAAGTTCGAGATCTCTGCATTACATGCAAGTACACTAAATATAATTGTCCAGCATTGAGATACATAGCCCCAGATCACTAATACCACCATTACCTAATTTTATTTTACAAAATTTGAAGTAAAAGATACCGTTAGCTCCACCCTTCTCACTTCTGGTTGTCTGCTTTCCTTGGTGTCAATGCTTACTGCAGTTGGATGTCGTACATAGTGGTATAAAGTAACCAGACTTCGTAATCCACGAAACAAGGTAGCGATGACATTTTGTGGGCACTGAATGGGTGATGGTTACCAAATGGTTTCCGTAACAAACGTTTTATTCACGAGTGGAATATTAGGCATTTTCAATTTGCTGAATCAATGAATAAAATAATCAGTGTGTATACAAAATGAAATCATGCATTTGAAATAAGAATTTAAGCCACACTTCCCTTATATCCACCGAATCGGGTTCTGCGAGTGTACTACTTGTCATTACTTTACAGGGCCCTCATAGTCATATTTCCAGTAAGGATGTTGAGAGTTTAGTAATTGGGGGTCCTCTTGACCTATAGTCTGTGATGGACATTGTGCTTTCCAAACAAGCGCCAAATCAGAATCCACATGTAGCTATATTAACATTACCATTAGAAAATAAAACTGGCCTACTGACTAGTCCACAAGCTAGTAGAAAATGGAAGGTCACTTGGACTTGTAAACTCACATTAGTGCTATCATTAAATGTGTAACTCAATGTTGATGAAGGAAGAAGAGTAAGAAATGTCCAACTCATCTATTTGTTCTTTGACATTGTTGAAAGATTTGTTTAAAAGCTTGAATTTAAAAAGAAAACTGTAATGGCACATACCTGCTCTGGCCACTGCCTCCTTGATGGCGATGGAGCCAAGTCGGGTAGCAGGTACATCAGCCAGGGAGCTCAGGAAGGAGCCAATAGGAGTCCTTACAGCAGGGAGCGATCCACGACATCCTGCAGTGGAATACAGATACATACTGAGGAATACAGGTGAATACAGTTATATACTAGGGGAATACAGGTGATACAGTGAATATAGGAGTCCTCACAGCAGAGACAATCATGAGTGAGTGAGTGAGTTTAGTTTCACCTTGCAGCTTTTAGCAATATTCCGAAAAGCAATATTATCAGGGGAACACCAGAGGCGATCATGACATCCTGCAGTGGAATACAAAGTGAATAGTATTACTAGAGCTGTGTATCGATTGCCTAAGTAGCGAGGCGATATATCCTGATACCAGTTTAATGAGGCGGTGATATATCATGAAAGTATTGGCAAAGGAACCTGTGAGGCGATTATCATCCGCGATACAGTGATGGTGATCGATCACGTATCCGATGCTTTACAATTCTAAAAACAGCATATATATGATAGATAAAATGACTGAATCTTTATTTGTTATACAGCAGAACATGTGTTACATTCACATACACTCAAAAGGCTGTTCATGTAATAAAGTCTCAGCATTTAATGCTTAAGTACAATCAAACATATTCAGTATACCTTGATCTAGGTTTCCCATGGAAAGTTGTGTTTCTGCACCAATGCTTTCACAGACAATTCAATGTAATTTATACCAGAATCACTGAAAAAACTCTTAAGTATGCTTTCTAAATTTCATCTTTTCTTTCTTAACAAAGCTAAGACATCGTTCATAGTTGTTAATAAATGGTGTTATTTGTCAAACAACTAAAACATGTTTCAATTACTTAAAGTCTTTTTACAGTCAGAGATTGAAAAATGTTCACATTCTTTCACTGATAGTCAGTGATACACCAACTCCTTTGCTCATGTAACAAAGATGGCAGACACAAACAAATTCCTATAAGGTTCAGTTTGCTCTAAAAATTTAGAAGTATTTCAAAGAAACTCCCTTCCTAATCCTAATGCAATGCTCCTTACAAATTTAAGTAGTATTTAAGTGGTATCGGGATATATCGTCTCTTGTGGCAATACATGGATTTATCATCCAAAACTATGTTCCACAGAATATAAACTGTGTGTGAGATCATATGATATCTCCTAGGAGATGGCGTCATCAACTTGATGGCGTCACAATCAATATGACATCGCTGCACTGTAAGTCTAATGGAAGTACAGTGTTGAGAGATGTACATTTTCATTGAAAACAAATGAAGAATGATTTTTAATGATAAATAGAATCTTACCCTCGTGTCTACTGATATCAATAATATCAACACTTTCGTTGATAAAGGTAAAAATATCCTTGTCAAGCCTTGGATATTTGTAACTTTATCAACTTCGTGTTGATATAATTGATATCAGTAGGCTACTAAATGAATTCTCTATGTATCATGGACCCACTGCGATATAAATATCCTGATATATTGCCTAAATGTGTTTTTGTATCGATGCACTTTCGTATAAGCAGTTGGCGATGCAATGAATCGTTACACCACTAGTGAATACAGTTATATACTGGGGAATACAGGTAAATACAGATATATACTGGGAATACAGGTAAATACAGTTATATACTGGGAATACAGGTAAATACAGATATATACTGGGGAATACAGGTAAATACAGTTATATACTGGGGGAATACAGGTAAATACAGGTATATACTGGGGAATACAGGTAAATACAGTTATATACTGGGGAATACAGGTAAATACAGTTATATACTGGGGAATGCAGGTAAATACAGTTATATACTGGGGAATACAGGTAAATACAGTTATATACTGGGAAATACAGGTAAATACAGATATATACTGGGGAATACAGGTAAATACAGTTATATACTGGGGAATACAGGTAAATACAGTTATATACTGGGGGAATACAGGTAAATACAGTTATATACTGGGAATACAGGTAAATACAGTTATATACTGGGGAATACAGGTAAATACAGTTATATACTGGGGAATACAGGTAAATACAGTTATATACTGGGGAATACAGGTAAATACAGTTATATACTGGGGAATACAGGTAAATACAGATATATACTGGGGAATACAGGTAAATACAGATGTATACTGGGGAATACAGGTAAATACAGTTATATACTGGGGAATACAGGTAAATACAGTTATATACTGGGGAATACAGGTAAATAGTTATATACTGGGGAATACAGGTAAATACAGTTATATACTGGGGAATACAGGTAAATACAGTTATATACTGGGGAATACAGGTAAATACAGATATATACTGGGGAATACAAGTAAATACAGTTATATACTGGGGAATACAGGTAAATACAGATATATACTGGGGAATACAGGTAAATACAGTTATATACTGGGGAATACAGGTACATACAGTTATATACTGGGGAATACAGGTAAATACAGTTATATACTGGGGAATACAGGTAAATACAGTTATATACTGGGGAATACAGGTAAATACAGTGAATATAGGAGTCCCCACAGCAGAGATGATCATGACATCTTATAGGTGAATACAGGTACATACTGGGGAATACAGGTGAATACAGATATATACTGGAGAATACAGGTAAATACAGTGAATATAGGAGTCCCCACAGCAGAGATGATCATGGCATCTTATAGGTGAATACAGATATATACTGGGGAATACAGGTATATACTGGTATATACTGGGGAATACAGGTAAATACAGTTATATACTGGGGAATACAGGTAAATACAGATATATACTGGGGGATACAGGTGAATACAGGTATATACTGGGGAATACAGGTAAATACAGTGAATATAGGAGTCCCCACAGCAGAGATGATCATGACATCTTATAGGTGAATACAGGTACATACTTTGGAATACAGGTGAATACAGATATATACTGGGGAATACAGGTAAATACAGTGAATATAGGAGTCCCCACAGCAGAGATGATCATGACATCTTATAGGTGAATACAGATATATACTGGGGAATACAGGTATATACTGGTTTATACTTGGGAATACAGGTAAATACAGTTATATACTGGGGAATACAGGTAAATACAGATATATACTGGGGGATACAGGTGAATACAGGTATATACTGGGGAATACAGGTAAATACAGTGAATATAGGAGTTCCCACAGCAGAGATGATCATGACATCTTATAGGTGAATACAGATACATACTGGGGAATACAGGTATATACTGGGGAATACAGGTAAATACAGTGAATATAGGAGTCCTCACAGCAGAGATGATCATGACATCTTATAGGTGAATACAGATACATACTTGGGAATACAGGTAAATACAGTTATATACAGTTATATACTGGGGAATACAGGTAAATACAGATATATACTGGGGAATACAGGTAAATACAGTGAATATAGGAGTCCCCACAGCAGAGATGATCATGACATCTTATAGGTAAATACAGATATATACTGGGGAATACAGGTAAATACAGATATATACTGGGGAATACAGGTAAATACAGTGAATATAGGAGTCCCCACAGCAGAGATGATCATGACATCTTATAGGTGAATACAGATACATACTGGGGAATACAGGTAAATACAGATACATACTGGGGAATACAGGTAAATACAGATACATACTGGGGAATACAGGTAAATACAGATGTGAAAAAATATGGAAACTTTGTTAACAAGTAAAACACTAATTACAAGGTATAATGGTAAATGCAGAAAATTGTCATGATTGTGTTTCTTGGTGATTGTCATTAGGCCAATCTATATTGAAGGAAAGAATATGGGTGTGGTTTGCTGTGTTTGGTCTGCTAGTGACAATTTGACACCAACAACACTGCTCAAAATATTTCAATTCCTGAAATTCTACCTGCCACTTTCAAAATGAGTGGCGACAGTTTAGCATGCTTAGGATGCCCCAAGATCTTGTAGATTTCTATATTTCAAAACTCCAGAGATTCATTAGTCCCAGAACAATTTGACAATCATGGGCAGATTCATGTATGTCATGAGTATTTCAAAAGGAGTGGGGATGGGGAGAAAAGATGAATGATAAGGTAGTGCATTCTGTGACCTACAGCAGTGAAGAGAGACACATTATAAATACATTTGTATTTCTTTGGTCTTTTGGCTGACTGTGTGACATGTGGAAGTCTAATGACATGCATTTCTTCTTTGAGTGGCATTTCTAGAAGTTGGAGAGTCAGATAATGACAAACTATCTGGATGAACAAATTCTTTATTCAGGTGATGCGACGTTTGATCTACTTGACAACGATACAAGAATCTGCATTGAAACGTCGCATTACCGGAATAAAAAAGTTTTTCATCCATAAAGTTTGTCCTTACCATACATAGAATTTTCCTTTTGCGAATTTCCTCTATGTGCAATACCTAATACAAAATATATACTCACATTCAGTCCAGAGACTTTAGACAAATGTCGGACACATCTTAAGCTTTGTCTGGGCTGAAAAACAAAACAATTATGAAACTTTCAAAATACAATGTAATGTCCATTTACATGTAGTGGGTTGGTTTAAAGAGATTTGAGTGGAAGTGACTGATGTAGCTAACTATGCAGTCACATATCGTCACAGCTTATGTCCATGATGATGCTGTGGTGGCTGGCAAAGACACAACAATGTTAATGTCTCGTTGCCACATGCTCAGCTACAGACCCATGCAAAAGTATTAGGACACTTGGACGTAATTTCCATAGACTTACATGTTAATTTTAGTGTAGCATAAATAATCTTCATGAAGTGTGTTCAGGGTGGATGATTGTAAAATTTGACAGGCAAATTTGAAGTCATCTCTGCTCTACGCACATAATTTCAGTTCACAATTACATTCATCAACTTACTTATGGTTCCACAATGCACAATCCCATAGGCCGCCATGTTAAAGGAGTTCACGATACTGTACATTCGTTGGTTTCACATTAATTTTAGACTCGCTGTGCTCATGCGCAGAGCGTGTAAAAATATCCTCAGGCCATATCCGGTTTGGTCGTAAGCTTTACCGATAGTGTAAACGCACTCTAAAGGAAGCAAAAATCAAAACAAATATATGGTTTTATGTCGAATTTAACTAATCTCAATTCATTTATGAATGGAAGGGACCGGAATCAGTTAAATAAATAGCTTAACGTTTGTTAACAAGCTCTTGTATAAACACATCTCGGCCTACCTTTAGAATACAGCACCACAAACTTTAAAAATACGTCATAATACCCTTTTACGTAATGTAATGTGATTTTGTTCGAAAGCACGTTCTCGAAACAATGCCTTATGAGGCCTGCATGGCAACACGGTTGTCTGGCTCAGCGAGTGCGTATAAGCTCCGCTCACTGGTGTTTCATCTCTACGAGCTATGTCATTGCATAAGCCCAACGATGTTGAGAGTTTCCAGTAGTTGTATACGGCCCGGATGTGCAATATTTTGCAAGCACCAGTTTGAAATATTTTCTTTTTCACTAATCGCTCATATTTATTTGTATTACGGGCTGCTGAGGTGTTATGTTTGTGTATTATTTTGTATTTTTTAATTTTTAAATTTACATATATATATTTGTCATTCAGTAATTTGCACCATTACATAGAAAAGTGTTTTATTAGTATTTTATTTTTCGAAGCGGTAATAATGCATTACACTAGACCGTCAGTCGGTGTTTCGCCCGGTTCGGTCAATGCATTCTATTTATTAGGATTAATTCCAAGGGATTGGGGTTAGGGCTAGGGCTAGGGCTAGGGGCTAGGGCTAGGGCTAGGACTAGGACTAGGGTTAGGGTTAGGGTTTAGGGTTTAGGGTTAGGGTTGGGGTTGGGGACCTAATGCAATATATAGTAGGTACATGTCCGAGTGGTTAGGTCAATGCATTCTATTTATTAGGATTATTTCAAGTGGTTAGGGTTAGGGTTAGGGCTGAGGGTTTAGGGTTTAGGGTTAGGGTTAGGGTTAGGGTTAGGGACCTAATCCAATATAGCAGGTACATGACCCGTGTAATCACATTGAGTACCATTTGTTGTTTTTCCTTTTGCATTTTAATACTTTTATTTCACACAAAAGCGGGGAAACCAAAAGCGTCGAAAGTACATTATGAAATGGGTTAATGTAGACATTTTGGGCTAATGGAAATTGGTCTGGAATTTGCACTCAAGCCTCTTTCACATAACATAAATTTTGTAAAGTAATGATTCGAAGGCTAACTCACCCTCGTGCCGTCACTACACATGCTCATGTCTCCCTCGTTCCTTAGAGTGCGATCCACATTATCCTTACAGTGTTCCCTACATCACTTTTCTGTCACAAAATCACCGATTTATATAAAAAGCGTCATTCATGCATGCACCGTGAAATCGTCTGGCGCCCTGGCGTCAACAACCCTTTCAGTTTGAGGCATATCGGCTCATTCCGCCACCGCGTTAATTTGTAGATTACGGAATGGGGCGAGTGTGCCAAATGGCATCGGATCCATTAAGGCAATTGTCGAGGAGAATAAAATCCACGAGACACCAAGTCTACCCGTAGCATTCGTAATTGTCCGTGACCTATTCGACTCTTTCCGTTCATTTCCGTGACGTCACAGGAATGACTCGATAAATTTGCACATTGTGCAACAGTGTGGACGTAGCTCAGTCGGTTAGCTGTCGAGCTAACAATCCGAAGGTCGCGGGTTCGCGTCCGACGGGTTCTCACAAACTGGTTGCTTGTCTTAATGACACGTGACCTACGGCAGAGATCGTCCTCACGAGAAGTTGTGGTGCTGTATTCTAAAGGTGCTCCCACATCTCACCACCACCCGTCCACCGTCCTTCCTGCACATTCCCTTCTCTAGCCGAGAGCCGCCGGCTACCCCTTCTCACAAGTAAAAAAACACATCTCTGATGCAATGCCACCAAAATAGGACATCAAATATTGAAAAGCATAGGCAAATTGATGTATGTACTCAACTATGAACAGTTGTCACGCGTAAATAATTTTTATACAGCATTTATTTAGAGCGTGTTTACAATATCGCTAATACGACCAAACCGGATATGGCCGGAGGATATGTTTACACGCTCTACGCATGCGCACAGAGAGTCGAAAATTAATGTGAAACCAACGAATATGTTGATTAAATTGTTGCCATTCGACAAACAAGCAACAGAAAATTATTCAGAAATTATGTGATTGTACGTAAGATGATTTCCTCACAAATGTGCAAAATTTGACTTGGATCTTACGAATATTAAATTCAAGAAGAATACTTATGCTACACTAAATTAACATGTACGTCTATGGAAATGACGTCAAGTGCCGAATACTTTTTGCACGACTCTGTACGTTCTTATTTACACACCATGAAATCAAACGTAGAGCCTCAAACAGAAACAATAGGCATTTGACACCCTTCCCTTATTGACCAAACACAGCGCTGTTATAGATGTACATCAGAGTTCCGAACATAAACCAATTAAACCCATCTAGCTATCACAAATTATTTAATAATTACGCAGTAGAGAGATTCTGTGTCAATTTCACACCCAAAATCAAGTATTGTGATCGAAATCTGAACAACTAGTATGGAATCATGTTTTTTCCTTTTGTTAGCCACGCTGCAAATGTCAGAAAGATAACTACACAGAGGATGTTTTAGACCTCATTTTTCAAAGCTTACTTGTGTTGGGAAATGGTGAAAATACCTTTAAAAACGTTAGTGAACGAAAACTCATATTGGTTCTTCTGCAGGACCGTGCTCCTTGTTTGACCGTAATAATTTCCACACGCATTTCAATCCGGGGAAATGTTCAATCTTTATGAAACTATATAGATTGTTATATTCAATACGTTAATTGAAATTTAATCTCTTCGACTTGTTATATATTATATTTACATTTATTTTTCATAGAATAAATATAACTTTTAATTGTCGGTAACACGACTACAGAAATTATACAATACGTTTTACTTACAGTAGTATCAATGACTGACCAATCAGAGGGGTCAAATAGGACACACCTCCAGGAAAGGTCTGGATTTCTTGGCGTTTTGACATGCCTCCAATATAGTGATGAAACTGGTCTATTTTTAGGGATGAATAATGGATTTGTATGATTTGGAAGCAACGATCGTAGCTCAAGAAATTGAAGTGTGAGCCAGGAACTGACAATACTCGTGTGCCAAGACACGACGTGATAGTATCGGCATAATATATAGCCATCCAGCCATTGCTTCATAGTGACACCGCAAGCAAAAGAAGTAAGTGTAATATATACAGCAACGACACTAGTAGTATATACACTGGGGGTACGAGATCAAGTCCAACAAAAGCCTCTATAAAGCTTCATTTATGAAATAAAGCTTTTGTCAGGCCCTTATCTCTCCCCGCTATTGTATATACCAGGGTTGAACTCCCAGTTAACTTCCTGGTCACTATGACCGCGAACCAACACTTTCCTGATCACGTGACACTATGTCGTGTTGACAGGAAACAGTTGACAGGATACTACTGGGATCACTCGACAAGGTAAGTGTTAAATATTTTGCTTGGGGGTAACATTGTGCCGTGATTCCTCTCTGACGGAGGCCCGTGGCTGCCCTACATGATGTTGATCTCAGCAAAACAGTTTAACGTGAATCTCCTATGATTTCTTTGGTTTTCGTAATGAAGGCTTGCTGGGCTTGTTGTATCCCCTGTTCTATGTACTTTTTTTCTCGTCTTCGCTGATGACAGTGCTTTTACGAGACTTGTTTCGAATCTCTCGTTTCATTTCATGATATTTTGCAAGTTCAGAGAGGACCATACAAAACTCCTCCTCGGAGACTTTACTGTCAGTGAGTGCGGTGGAGATGTGGTCGCTTACCGTATTCAGCTTTGCTTCAGCCAGAACCCTGATTACGATGCAGTCTGTGTGACGCAAACCTAAACACCAACCCCGCCAACCCTGACACCCCAGCTGTTATTTCGATGCCTAGCACTATCGGGTGCGGCTACGATGGTGGCCAACAACCCGACACCTACCGCCCCTAGTCCCATGCTGGTTGTCATAAGGGCGGTATCAACCCCATCCACGGCATTGAAAGCTCTATGGTACTTCTTGTACAATGCTGCCCGTGTGTCGCGGTCTTGTTCTAGTTGGCGTTTTACATCACATAACTGTTTCAACCGAAACCCGTCTACGGTTTCCAGTGTCTTCGCTACTTCCTCTACGACTGGGTACAGTCCCATCCTGTGTGTATAATATATACTACAAGATATTTTTTAATTCGTCGCTTTTAAAATGAGCATCAATGTATTTGAGGCTTATAAGGGCTAGGTTCTCGTTCAGGAAAATCTGGGAAAGGCTAATAGGTGCATTTTCTTCTACCTGAACCAGTGAAGGTTCTACTAACATGTCCGATTCCGAGTATCTGATGATATGACAACGTCGACCCCCAAATCATATACAGCTTTCCAATTTATTGTCAACCCAGGTAAAAGTTGCCAGCGGGAACTCAAAGCAGTGTCTCCAAGAAGGACTTCTATGATGAGCGTTGAGTTTGGTTTCACAGTCATAGGATTTGGTAGGATATCAGGTAAGTCGGCCCTTAAACTTGAGTCCTCAGATGAATATAACATGTTGCCTGAGTAGATTGTTCTTTGGGAAACTCTTATATTATCAGAATTCGGTATGAAAGACGTGAGCCAGACGCCGTTGTTCCTAATTTCGGAGACACCCCCATTTTTGTTTATGGAGACGTAAGGTGCTGTGAGGGTTAAGTTGATAAACCATTCGGGTTCTTTATAGAATCTTAGGTTCGCCTGCTTAAACACGTCACCTGTAAAGCACAGGACGTACAAGGCATCTTCATCACCCCAATCGAACCCCTCCACGTTCCCTAGATCCTCGAGCGTGATGTTTGGGCGAAAATTGGTCATTGCTATATACTATTACAAGATAGTTTCCAATTGTTTTCTTGATAACCTCTCAGGGGTGCACTTCAACCCCATGAGGTGTATGTTGTCGGGTAGGAAGATATCGGTGAGGGATATCGTGTCTTCCACGGTCACGGTGACCCCCTGCAGACTGGTGTGGGAGTCGACACCCACCCGCACGTAAACAGTGCAAACCTGATACTGGTGCCGTTTCACCCACCGGAGTTTGATTCCCTTCATGATTTTGACTTCTTCCTGCGATGGTTCACCTAGGTAGACTTGGATGACCAGCGTGGAATTTGCTGGTAGCCCTTCCAGGATTTTAACTACGCCGGCGAATTTAGACACCACCTCCAACTTCACGTCTTGCACCCCCGGCTTGCTCGATAGCATGTGGGCCGCCATACTCGAGAGTGGGCTGATGATTACGCTACGTCTATGCGCCGGGATGTAAGCCACGAGCAGGGCTCTGTTGTTCCCCGACTTTCTTTATGTAGTTGTCTTTGTTCTCTGTGAACACGTAGGGGGAGCCGAGACTAATGTTGAGAAACCAGTCATGAGAGGGCAACAACATCCACTTGTCGGCGTCGGTGAAGACGAGCGTATATGGCTTGTTTCGAGCAACGGTCGTGCTCTCAACATCTTCTAAGTCGAACAGTTTGCCTCCGAACGATGGGTATACCGAGCATCTATCATCACCGATGCGGACTAGGTCGAACCGAGTGATGAGGGCCGCTCCTGAGGTATCTACTATATCACCTAGGGTTCTACCGATGGAGGGGACTTCAACGCGTTTGTAAATGCTGTTTTTAAGCTGCAAGGCGTATAGTTTACCATCTACTCTGGGGTCGTCGAATCCGCGTGTGTCCCCGAGGTCGGAGATCCCGACATTGACGCATTTTTTCAACCTCATTCCGGGACCTTGTGCGCTAGTCATTTTATGTGCAGCGTTATGCTGAGGTATCCTATATTCACAGGATTATGCTTTATATCTAAAACCGATATTACCAATTCAGAGATGGTGCCCCGAGTTAACCTCTTGTACTGCCGCGGTGAAAACGACTCGGTTCTGCCGTTGTTGTATTTCTCCATTTTCACTGGTACGGCTCTCAGTATCGTGGAAGGGTGGCCACCTTGAATGTTGTCCGTTGTGCTCAACTGATCGAGATGAATGCACAGCTCTAGGTACGGTACTAGGTCGGGTAACTTCGTGCCTGTGACGGTAGTTGTGGGTTTTATCTCGTCCAGCAGCATCCCGAGTGTCCTCGCCAATGGTCGGCCGAGCCTCAAGGGGTTTATTCCGTTGTTGGTTAACACCACTGTGCCGTTTAAGTCGTTTATCTTGAGTTCGGCTCCCAAGGGTTTGAAGACCTCATCACTTAGCGAGCACACACTGTAGTAGCCGTCGATTATCTGGGTGCGGGCGCCACTGACGAACAGCTTATTGTTGCTGGTGTTGATGTCGGTCCATCGCGGTAGGTAGGTGATATCGCAGAGTGCGACTTCGAGTTGGCCCGACGTGTTATCGATCGCGTGCATCAGCTGAACGGACTCACCGCTCGTTATTCCTAGAAGTGTTACGTACTTGTTAGAGTATATATACCCATTAAATAATACTTTAAAAAATGTACAAACCAGGAGTGTTTTACCCTAAGATGGACATAGACTTCACGAATATGAAGATTGTGGTCGACGTGGCTGGGTTGTACTTCGGAGCCCAGTTCATCGATGTGTTCGAACGGTATAGGCTTTCGGTGATGAACGTCAAGGCAGTCCACGCTTGGTTCAACATCCCGATGCAGTTCTGGCAGAATCAACTCAACTTCGCCGTGTGGTGTGCTACAATGGGGTGTGTCTTGACATTGACCGACACTCGGCGTGATGCGCTGAGTAGGTCTGTGTACATGTTTATCGTGTACTACCAGGTCAGGCGTATCCTCAAAGAGATCAGTGCCCCGCTTTCACAGGACAAGGTGTCGGATGCATCATACAATCCGCACGATCGGCGTGCTTACGAACGGATTTGTGGTGAATTCGGATTCGATCCGAAAACGGATTGGCGTATACCATGAGGAGTGAACCATGGGTTGGGTATTCCGTACAGTGATGGACTCTCCGTAAAAGCATTACGAAAAGATACAGTGGTAAACTTTATGAAGCACAATATGTTTAGTTCGGGTAATTTCTTCAATGCATTCTCCAACCTCGTTCCTAAACCCATACACAGTGGGCCAAAACCGGTGAAAGAAGCCAGCGATGATCTACTGAAACGAGGTTTACTTCGGGCCAGAATTTGCTCTGTCGAGTAACGAATGGCGAGATGATCGTATGGACTCTACAGGCGACGTTGGTTTCACCATCCAAAAGGTCGAGAACCCCCCCTACGTTGGAGACAATCAGAAAGTATATACGCTGGACACGTCGGAAGGGTTTACTCGTGCCGGTGTCACCAGATTGAACGACTCGGTTCGAACGTACGTGTGGGCGCTGTTGGGTGCACAGTGGCAAACGCGTTCCAACATCATTGGTAAGGGGACTGCTTACGACGCGCAGAAACAGTTCGTGGTCAACGTTGAGGATGCTATCGCTGCCCCGGTCGATCTGCCGAGTGCCATCAAATGCTACCAACACATTTTAGAATACGCCCGGTCTAAAGTCGACTACGTGTTCGACGTGGGATTGTACATGGCCCCGAGCGACATGCAACTGAGAGTAAAAAAAGCAGTAGGCTACAACAACGAAATAGTCATAGCCACGGCCGACCAGAAGTTGGGTGTCAATGCAGGCATCAACGTGAGTCACGTCCCAACTCCCACGGGTGAAACGGGCATAGTCGTACCACCCCCGCGGAGCCCAGGGTTCAACCAGCACCACAACCCCTACCACCACACTGGGTGGCTGAAAATCAACAGCATATAGATCGTAGAACAGCGCTAGTGGTTGGGGGGATCGCGGCTGGGCTCATTTGGTTAAAAATTCCTTAGCCGAGACGTACACCTGCCCGGCCACTGCGATGATGGCTGCCCACAGGTTTTGGCCAAGCCACGTGACTGTTTTCGACAGCGTGCTCAGCAGCCACGAGACGATGCTACCCAGGATGCAGGCAGGGCTTCGGCGGCCTTACCAGCAAGTTTAGTCAGGGCTTCTCCGAGTGATTTCAGATGTTTTTTTATCCAGTCTCTGACATCGCCTGATGGGGTGGGTGTGCCACCACTTGGTGGACCCCCACTCAGCGATACGACCAGGGTTGATATGATGAAGTCCAATGCAGTCAGAATGCTGGCGATGGTGATCCCTTGCTCTCGGAAGAGGATTCGGATCCTGTCAGCCAACGTTGTGTCCT